GGAGCAGAGCAGGCAGAAGGACCAAAGTACACTGCTGAGGGGAGCAGTGGGCGGCAGGAGAGGTCTGTGCGCCATGCGGGACCCTCCTCCAGTGGCCGGGTTGCAGCCTGGGATCGAACCGGTGACGTAGAGGCTGCGGGCAGCTTCCCAACCCAGCTCTCAACCGCTGCACCACCGGAGAGGCCCTGAATAAATATTTCTTAATTTGATGATGTTTACTCTTAGCATACTTTCCATAGATTTTGAAGAATATGATATGTTATAATTTTCAGAAGTTATGATTATTTTGCTGGGGAGCAGTTTCATAGAGCTCTGACTCTAACTTACTGGAAATGAAACTCTCTTAGGCTTTATATACACTTACAGTAAAAAAAAATCAAAGAAATTTCTTAATTTCAAGTAAAATATCTTACAAAATTTCTTATGAGAAAAGAAAAGGCCTTTCATGACTAGATTTCTGGCCAGATACACTTTCTGAAAAATTACTAACTTTGAAAAATTCTTTGAACAAGTCGCCTTAGGAAACTCCACAATCATTTTTTTTTTCCTTTTGCCAATGAGGATATTATATAACTAGGATATTCATTCCTAGTCCGGGAACCAAAACGAAACTATGAAACCAAGGGATACCGGGGAACCCCCAAACTGCTAAGGGGAAATAATCCTTTCTGCCCAGACTCAGGGTTTGGTCATCTATCCACAAAGACAAAGGAATCAGACTCTTAGTGGTGCAAAAATCTTTAATTGATGTGAAGTTTAAAGGACATAGAGAGGGAGTGAAGAAAGGGTTTCAAATGACAGACTGCTCATCAAACTCCAAATATCACCCATCCCTCTCATGGGCAAATGCCCAACCAACAAGCTGGACACAGAGTACGGTGGCTGAGGCCCAAAAGCTTTTCAGAAATCCAAGGCATCTCCCAGTGAGGGACCATGATAAAAGTGTTAGGTAGGTTCCAGAGAGCTGGGACGGAAGACAAGATTCAAATTTCACGAAGCGTCATATAATCCATTATGAAATCAATATGATATTTGCCATCTTCTTTCCTGCCTATAAACACAATAAGATTACAGAAATGGTCTTTTCACATATCTCTCCTTCCCCATTCCACCATGTATATATACTATACACATATACTTTGCTCTTTCCTCCTTCCCAACTGTCCGTCATTCAGGAATTCCAGTTCGTGGCATACTGGGAATTACAATCCAAGACCTCTGAGATGTTGTCAGTGTAGAAGTGGGGGTAGGGAAATGGTGCCCATTCCTATAGCCTCAGTGACATTCCCTCTCCTTTTGCAGTGACACATCCTATAACAATTACACTGACAAAACTTCAGTATGACTGAAGTTATGTCTCCAGTTTAAACCCATTTTTTCAGATAACCTTAGGTTTCTCCCTCATTTACTTGATAGCTTGAGGGCTATTCTCAACTATTTAAGCCAGAAAATTTAAATGTATTCATTGAAGTCAGTTCATCAAACTTTATGGCGTATCTATGCTGGGTCATCTATTGCTCTGGGTGCAGTGAGAGATACCAATAAAGAGGATATGATGTGTAGTTGCAAGGAACCATTAATTTGGGATTCAGATAGTCAAGAATACAATCTGAATTTACATTCTCACACTTGGCAGGCATTTGGTTAATATTGAGATTCTCTCTGGTAGTTTTATCTGCACCAAGTTGATTAGTATAGTCAGAATGCATGGTATTTACAATTACATCATGTTACAGTGACTCCTTTAGTGAAATACCCCATAAACATGTGTTGATGTCCTCAGAGGCTACCTGGCTTCTCAACACACACACCCTCTATTGTCAAATGCCTGTACTTTCTCTGTCCCTCCTCTATAACTATAGCATAACTACAGACATGATAATTGTTTTGTATAACAATTGGTTGTCATATTATTCTTTGATTTTTCTATATGATGATGTGAATGACTTTGTCCAGAATAGACATCTAAGAATACATATTAACACTGCCATCATGAAAACTAACTAAATACTGCAAACATGTTGTACTTAAACCCTCAAGTTAGTTTATAAATTGTTAGTAGTTTGGGTTTTTTTACTGGCCATCTTCCTATAAGTCTGAAGGATTTTGGCTTGCAATTAGAACTCCTTTCCTCTTTGACTCTTACATCATATAATTTATTAACCTCACAAATCAATTCTCAGCTCCACTCAGTAAGCATTTGAAGGTCCACTAACGTGGTAAGCATTGTGCTAATTCTGAGTCTTCGGTCTCCTTGATCTTAAAGAAGTTTTGTAGTCTCATGAAAGAAACAGATATGAAAACAAGTAAATGTAATAATTCTCTGTCCTATTATAAAGTAAATATCAAGACACATAAAGGACCTAATGCTGACTCAAACTACTGGAGGAACAGTAGAAGTAGTCAGAAGATACTTTAGTTCAAGGAAATGATGATTGAATTAAGCCATAAAGGTAGACTCTGAAAAGATTAGGCAAGAAGTGCTAAAGAAAAGCATTCCAGGCATGAGAAAGACTTTAAGATGAAGATCCATACACAGGCTTAGTTTACATGATTTTTTTTTTTTAACTCACAATTAGGAGAGTGAGTCCAGTACAGGACTTTATTTCCTTGATTGTAGTATTTTCATTTTATTTTCTGTCTTCCTCCCTCAATTCTCTTGAAGTTGTTCATAATAAGGACTAGTCATATTCATCTAATATATTTAGTAGATTCTTCAATGTTGTCGAATTATTGAATTCCTAAGTCCACTTTTTATTATCCAGTTAAGGGCAATTCTTTGCCCTGAAATCTAGTTCTGAATGTAAATCCTATAATGACCACGGCCCCTGTATCTGGGCCTCTATTTTTTCCTTAGATACATCTCCAAGATAGATTTCTAGGGAGTAGGGATTGGTTCCTGTGGTCAGGATTGGCTGATCCTTTTTTAGGAAGTGACCTTTGGGATGCACAGATTTCTAAAGAGGTATGTAGATTGTGTGTTAAACTTTGGCTTATGATAATGTGCCCAATCTTAGGAATAACATGTTTTGACCTGTATCTTGCATAATAGGTAAAATAAGTGATTTGATCACCTACCTTTACCTTGACAACATTGTTTTTTTTAAATCTAGGATAAATATCCTGTAATATATAATGGGAAAGTTCCAGTTTGGGTCTTTCATCCCTACTGAGCTACCCTTTCATCATTTCTACACTTGGGCAATTCAGTAACTCCCTGATTTGTCATTTCCTGGTACTCCTGTGCTCTGTCCCTTCCCGGGGATTCAGTGGTATCTCCTAGGCTTAGTTGGAGAGGTAGGCTGGGGAAGTCAGCTCTCTCCTTTATGTCTTGGTCCCATTAGTCTCCACAGTAAATCACACCATGGTGTAAAAATGTTTATACCCTTTCTGACTTTTTTATTTTACTGAGAAGAAAGGTCAAAGCACCTGGTCTTTAACCCTCAGCAAGGTACACTCTGGTAGACACAGTCTCAGTGCCTACCCAGGTGTTTTACCTGAAGGTTTGTCCCTCTCTAAGAAGCCCTTCTTTGGGTCTTTCTTCCCCTCTGGGTAAGTCTCATCTTTCTCCATAGGACCCATTACCTCTTACTTCCCCCCACCAACCTTGGTACTTGTTAAATCTCAGTCACTAACTGTAGTATAAAGAGGGGGGACTCTAAGATGTAATATTCTACAGTCAAAATAATAAAAGGCAGTAGGTGAGGCTGTAACTCCAAATCAACAAAATCTCTTTTGAGAAGTCTTTCTTTTCCCTATCCGTGAAATTCAGATTAGCCTTTTGGAGCATAGGAAAGGGCTCTTTTCTTCATTATCTCTCTCTCTCCTCCCCCCTCTCCCTCCAATCCTCCCAAGGAACAAGAGTCATTATCAGCGATATTACCCACTAATGACTTAAAGAGGAAGGAGTTAGTTTTCTAACTGCAACATAATTTGTAAGGCAGCACTCTCTCCAGATGTCCGGATATCTTATTAGGCAGAAAGATATATAATTCCTCTTCTCCCTCCCATCCTCACCCTCATGCTCCTCCCCATCCCATTTTAAAGGGCACTATGGGTTGGCTAGGAATAAGAGAAAGGCCCTTGTGGAGCCAGATACTCATTCAAGACTGCTCTTAACCCCACATGCCTTGCTATTGGAGTTCCATTAAGGAATAGATTAACTCCTTATCTGAGACTCTGTTTTTCCTCCAATTTCTAACTCAGCAGGAGGGGAGTCAGTGGATTCATCTTCCCTTTGCATAATATAGGTAATTGATGATCTGTGTGCACAATAGCCAGGTGAAATGTACTAATGAAGGATTTTTTTTTCTAAATTATGATTCACTTTCATTAAGACTTCCATAGGAATAAAAGTCAAACTGGATTTAAACATTTTATGTGGCATGTAACAAATCACCTTTTCTAAATAAAAGGGAAATTACCCAAATTCTCCTAGAAAATTCAGCTGGCATGGTCATCATAGCTTTATTATATATACTCAATTTAATTATGAAGAGTGTTCACTTCTTTAAAGAAATATTACTAAAAAGAAATCCTTGACCATGTGACCATGTATCCTGGTGAGGCTAAAATTGGTCAAGGCAGAGCTGGATGCCAAATGATAATTTCTATTAAATAATTCAGACCGTCTGAACTCTGATATTTTACTTACTTTAATGAGTATAATGATGCAATTAGAGACTGCTCTCCCCTTGATGCCAGATACATATGTCCTAGTCTAATTGTAAGCCCCATTTTTCGTTGGGTAGCTCATGCCTCACATCATCCTATATTCCCTGTGCCTGGAGTAGTAGCCTCTGAACAAATGGTGATAGGAGTCAGTCACTGAGTAAGTCTTGATGATCATCATCATGAAGAAAAACAAGATTTCAGAGAAAACACTAGAAATTTCAATCAGAAAGTCCGTGATAAATCTCATGTACAGCAAAATGGAATGGGGAAAGAGAAATCTAGGACTTTGGTTCTCTCTAATACTGTTTTTTCTTTCTTCCTTGCAGGGCAATGATGCTGATATGGTGGATAAAAACAAGTGTTGCACGCTATGTAACATGTCTTTTACGTCTGCTGTGGTGGCTGATTCACATTATCAAGGCAAAATCCATGCCAAAAGGTTAAAACTGTTGCTAGGAGAGAAAACCCCATTAAAGACTGCAGGTATGTATGTGAACAACAGTATTTGGGAGACACTCAGCTCCGTGCTGGTTCCCAGCCTCATGCCTATTCCACTAAACATGCTCGCTCTTCAGAGGTAGCTGCCTGAATGGGAGTCTAATGGTGGCTGTCCTTCAAACCTAAAGGGCTGGGCAGGTAGACCAGCAGATCTTGCTCTCATAAAACCCTCAGATCTGGTTGCAGGTGCTCTTTCTCTCAATCTGACTCCTTCAGATTAGTAATTCAGCAGTTTGCAGATTCTAAAAGGCTGGTTACATCTGCCAGATGTCTGTCATATTTATTACATATTATGCAAGATATTATATCTATTATGTAATGAACACTTGCTGCTCTTCCCTTGTTTGTCTGTAATTTGCATGGGTAAGGGAATATGTGTTGTTTACCTTGGGTAGCTTCTCAACTGATGCCTGCATAATTCAAGATATTACCTGGCTCTTATCTTGATGGAAATAGGGAGGAGAAAAGCTGTAGTCATTAAAAACACTTTTGTTTGCAGGTAACTGCATTCTTTTTCTAAGATGTAGTTCCTGTTATCTTCCTAGGGGATCAAGCTTACTAGCTTAAAATGCTTTAAGACTAATAACAGACCATTTAACCTTGTAATGGCATAGCCAAAAATATTCTTCAGAAGTCTATCAAATAATGAAACTACAATATGGTTATAATTTAATCAAGATAGACAATCTGGGCAAGGTATCACTGTGACAAAGACTTTACCAGACTAGGTTCAGGTCTGAAGAAGTGGGGAGTATATTTCATGATGTCTGCTCTAATGCAATTAAACTTTAGCAGAGCATTTTATCTTGTTGTCTAATGAATTGTGCATAAATCGTGGGTGTAATTATTTTTTAAATGGTATTTTGGAAATTGGAAGGAGTCTAAAACAATGCTTGACTTTTATCCTCATCAGTGTTTTTCTTAAGGAAAATGTCATCTTTTACCTAGAGAATAGCAAAGATTCTTTTCACTGTATTTTTCTACTTAGTTTAACTAGAGAATATTGTTTTTGTAAAGGTGGCTGTGACATTCAAACATAGGACAGGGTTGCAAAACACATGAAATCTGGAGACAGGCCCAGCTTATTTGGGGCATACTCTAAGTATGGCATTTGATAGGCAGTGACTCGTTGAAATCCCTCGTTCCTGCTCTCTTAAAGGTTCAGTGTGCTCACCTTGTACTCTGTTCCCCATCAAACCTCTTAAAATAGACACTTCAAAGAAACAGTAACTGGGAAGTTTTTACCTGTTTTCCATGAATGAGTAACTAGCTCATTTGTTCTCTCTGCCTAAGCAGAGTATAGCTGTTAAATTTAATTTTGGAGGTAGTGATGGAAGAGGAAGGACTATGTCTTTGTTTATCACATCAATTAGCAAATGGAAGAGGTATTGTTTCTGGAAAAAAAAAATATCATCACATGGTAAAAATTGTTCATTGTGAATTTAAATACATCCTCAAGACTGGTTAAAAGTATAAGTTTTCTTTCCTGAATTCAAATACCCACAGAGCTGGTAAATATAACTTGAGGGTAATTTGTTAGTTGCCATTTGTGTAGCCCAATGGAAAAAATTGTAAGTGCTTAAATTACATCCTTTACTCAATGACTGTCATGGCTGTCCATGAAGCTGATACAGTTCTTACTGTGACAGAAATCGGGTTGCTGTTTAAACAAAAAGGCAGTGAGAATGGGGAGGAGCAAATAGCACTAAGAGCAGTGGTTTGTACTGGGGGGAAGGAGATTTAGTTGCCTTGTGCCAGCAGCTCCATTTCTCATCTATTTCAGGGTTTCCAGGCTTCACATCCTTCTTCTGCAGCTTTTCCTCATCCGTTCTTTCTGAAAGCTGCTTTCAGCACAAAGGACCTTAGAAAGTGGCAAAACCAGATAGAATTGGGGGGGGGGGCTAGAAAACTAACTTGGGCCCCAGGCTTAGGATGGTATCAACCCAGTTGCTGGCAGGGAGCAGAGAAAATAATGTATCTTGCTAGAGGGATGAGTCATTAGGTACAAGTAGAAGCAGAGGGAGGCACTGGGGGATTTGGCACAAGATAAGGCTTTGAGGGCCTGGTAAGAGGCTGGAACCTAGTACTGAAGTCTGGGTGCAGAGAACGTGCAGAGATGGAGTCAAGATTTTGGCAGGAAAGTCAGACAAGTGGTAGCAAGGCCCTGGTTGCAGGCCTGGGGTTTTGGGAAAGAAAAGGCTATTGAGAGAGCAGCAGGGTACCATCTTTTAGGAAAAGTACTGGGCTGGAAATCAAGTATAACAAACAAATCAAGGATCTGATTCCCAATCCTGGGATATGGGTGGAAGCTTGGTCTCAAGCACAAATTCACTCATTACAAGAACAGGATAAAGATCAAGAGGCACCAGGAAAGAATAGCCAGGCCACGGGTCTCTGACCTACCAAGTACAGCACCTTCAGAATGTGAACAGTCAGGGTTTCCTGCCATCATCTCTGCTGCCTTCTGCCAATCCCAGAAGCAATTCTTGAAGGACTTCACCTGAAGCTATGGTTACCCTGTGCACGTCTGGTACTACTCTGCCTAATCAACCAGGTTGACTGGAAATTGTTTCCATAATGAAAACAAATGGAAAAAAAAAAAAACACATATAAAATTCAACCAACCCTACTCAGGTATGCTACTTAAGCAGCCTCTCCATGAATAGCAGGCTCTTGAACTGTAGTGATCTCTGGGAAAGAATAATTGAAGCACAACTTATTGCTTCTAACTACTCCATCTGATGAGGGTGAGCAATTGGTGTCTGTGAATCATTGCCTTTCCTCCTACTCAAGATGCACTGTAATCAAGCTTTAACTGGAGCTCCTGAAGAATTAGTTGCAGATGGAGTTGCTTCTCCACATGGGTGCATATTTACTGGGATTTTTGAAATGCCTATTAGAGATGTGATGGAACAAAAACCAGTTCTACTTCTTCTAGGTTAATGTGTTGAAGAAACTTGATCCTGTCATGTTCTTCTAGATTCTACTTCATAATCTCACAGCCACAGTAGAAGATTTCTCTGTAAGATGAAAGCATGAGGAGGATTCTAGATCCATCCTGTACCTCTAGATCAGCAGATGTCAGTATATGGATCCTGCCTTTATTAAGACTAGCTTGAGGCTACCATGGGCCTGTCATTTGCCATACTGTGAGAAGGATTTAGAGGGGATAAAGAAGATAGAAGCCAGGAATATGAAGGGCATGAAGACCCTCTCTGGAGGAAGAGTAAACAGAGATTGTTTAAGCATTAATAAATGATTACTTGGAGGTAGAACTTTGGAAGGCTAACACAGAAAAGAGAGATTCATATTGTGTATGTGAATATGCACAGGTGTGCATACATACATGTGTGTGCCTGGATGTCACAGATATAAACAATGAGTGGGTAGGCATAACAGCAGGAAGGGCAGGTTTTCTGATCCAGCAGACGGTGTAAAGGAGGAGTCCAGTCCTGGAGCCCTGAGTAGCTTTTGCAGGCTTTTATTGGGATATACCATGTACACAACAGGCAGGAGTGCTAGGGGGCCGGGAGGCTGGCAGGCCTCCCAGGCCCCAGCAAGTCTTCACTCTATCTGGGTTCTCTGGCCTTCTCTCATGTCCTCTCTCTTCTCTGCTTCTCTGCTTCTCCTGCTCCTTCTGCTCTACTCTCTGCTTCTGGCATCCCTGTAACACTGTCCTTATAAACCCAGTCTTAGCCCAGGTGAATCCCATCTACATGTGCCCACACCCTATTCCAGGTGCCCGCCATCAGGCATGCATTTGGGACCACAGGATTCCATCATCTATCCCAATGGCGGGAGGGCAGAAAAGCCTGATACTTTTACCTTACCCTACAGTAGGGAATTAGGGAGTTAGATCTGAACTGAAGATAAGAGAAAGGTTATTAATAGTTCAAGATATTGGAGTTCTGTGATGAAACAAAAGTGGAAAAGAATATGTAAAACCCAACCAACTGGATCTAGATGCCAGACAGAAGCAATTCCTCTGTCCAGGTGTGCTGCTTCTGCTGTTTCTCCACAACAATAGGTTTTTGAACTGGTAGAACACAAGGCTATGGGGTTATGAAGGACAGGTGACTAATCACCTGGCAGGACAATACCTGAAGCCACCCAGCATGATACTGTTATAGAGCAACCCCGATATTAAAGGAGTTCCTGGCTGTGGGTCCTCACCCGCGCGCTTTAAAGGGACTTATGAATACTCTACTACAGACACACGCAAAAGGGTTAATAAAAGGTTTATTTACAAGAGAAAAAGAAATAAGGAAAATATACAACTCAGGGAGAAAATAGGGAAATAAAGTCTTTAATGTGTCCTACCCGATCCGACGACCTGGAAACCCAAAGTCACTCTCAGAGCTGGCCGGAAGCTGCGAGCTGGCGGAGAGCCAAAATGGAGAGCCTCCCAAAGCCCACGTGTCTGCCTTTTGTATCCACCTGGCTGCTTATCCCCACCCTCAGGTCCCAGCCACCTTCCCTTTGGTGGTAATGGGATTTGGAGTTCCCAGTGTCTTTGGCTTTGACCTGGGGTGGGGGTGGAGTCCACAAAGCCTGTATGAAATTTGCTTTGGGACATCCTTTTCCCCCTAACAATACCATTAGCCTAGGTGATGCTTAAGGTCCCTAGATTATATGGTCAACCTAGGTGACACTTAAAGTCCTTCCAACCCTGAGATTTTTAAGCCCTATGCTACTTACAGGGCTGACCTGCTAACATAATTTGCAGCATGAAGACTGGCCTGGGAGTCAGGAGATAGGAACTCAGCCTTCCTTCTGCCCTAACTGTATAATCTTTGATAGGTTGATTGTCTTTTTCAACCTCAGCTTTCTTATCTTTCATTTAATTCTAATACCAAGAGCAATTATCTCATTGGCCTGTATACAGAGCAAATGATAGATGTAAAAGTGCTTTCAAATGTGGTAGTTGCTGTGTTAGTCACAGGTGAGCATTTGGTAAGTAAGTTCTTTTGGGGGCAAAGTCTGAC